TACACATAAATATATATTTTTATTAAGCTAATAATAACGTGACAAACCAAAACAAAACAAAATATAAACATTTGAATAATAAAAATGCCGCCGCCGCTTAGATTGTGTTTATCTACATATTAGATATTTATCTTAATGAGAATACTAATTACCATTATTATTAAGGATTTTTATTAAAAACGAAAAGAGAGAAGAACTACATACGTACATTATTTGTTTTTTACTTATGAAATTATTAAAAAATATCTACTTTCAATTTAGTTCATGTTTATCTTGTTCTTGTTAAGTAGTTTGAGTTCGTTACATGAAAGAAAAAAAGTATTAAAACGTAAAAAACAACAAAAAATCGCTTGCTTTCATTATCTAAACTAAAGTTAAGTTTATCATATTTATATTATCTAAATATTACATTAGTTTTGTTTGATTTTTTAAAGTTTAGTTTATCGTAAAATGTTTATTTCATTTCCGATCTAGAGATCCCTGCAAATAATCCAAATCGTCACCAAACAGGTGATCGATTGAACATCATTACTAACATCATAAAATGATACAGGTAGGCGCCTCAACACAGCTGCTGGTACAATGAACTGTCAACCAAATTTTGAAATTGCAATTTTTGAATGAAAAACTTTCAAAATCCATTTATTTTTGGAGATATTTAAAAAAAAAAATTTGACATATCAATGTTCGCGTGTATTGACGCATCTACCTATATTCTTCTACGTTATTACGCGTTTTCAGCATGCGACAATTGCTGTAGAGAGGAAAACGAATAATTTGGTTTTCGTCATGGTAGAATAATACAGGAAGACGCATCAACGCTTGGGAATATTGACAAGTCAAGTCTTTAAATGTTTCTTTTTTCTTTAAAAAATAAGCAGATTTTTATAAGTTTTCTTATACGACGCCAATCGTAGGTTGTATTTTCAACCATTTTTACAAATTCGAATAACTTTTCATTGAAAAGTTTTTTGATTTCAAAATTGGTTTGACAGTTCATTGTCCCAGCAACTGCTGGTATTCTTCAATGGTTTTCGTTCTTTGTTCCTAAGGGTGAAACAGATCAAAGCTTAAATCGTGACTTCGGGGTGAAAATACAACACTGTTGCTAAAAGTGAAACACAGCAAAATGGCAACACTGTTATATATTCAGGCCAAAGTCACGATTTAAGCTTTGATATGTTTTAGCCTTTTAGAAGATTTTATTTTGTGCGATCATAAACGCATAAAATCCAGTGAATTTGAATTGTCAATTTTATGGCATATTCATTGAATAAATCCACTGGATTTAACATTTGACATTGACAGTTGAAATCAACTCGATTTATTATATGTTAACAAGCCTATACTCTCGAATCTAATTTTTTATGCACATGTCAACTATGTAGAAGTAAATAATTTTGAAGAGTAATACTATGTTTAGAGAGAACAGAAAAGACAGTAGAAAGTATTTAACCTATAAATTTGACAACTTTGAAGAAGAAGAAGAAGAATTTGACAATTTTAACTAAAATCAAGTATTTTTTAATAAATTACATTATTTTAATCTAGAATTCTTAATCTATTGATTATTTATCAACTAATTAACGTATTTTCCATGGTAGAAGATGCATCATTGTTCGTTAATGACAGATCAATCAAAATTTTTAAATGTTTTTTTTTAAATAAGTAAATTTTTTTATGTTTTCTTATACGACACCAATCGAATGTTGTTAAGATACGAATTTTTCAACAATTTTAACGATTAAAAATAATTTTTCATTGAAAATTTTCAATTTTAAAACTGGTTTGACAGTTTATTGTCCCAGCAGCTGTGCCGATGCGACTATCTTCATTCTTCTACCATGGTAATTTTGAATAGTAATACTATGTTCAGAGAGAACAGAAAATATAGTAGAAAGTATTTGACAATTTTGAAAAAAAAAAACTTCAATATTTAAACACATTTTAACTAGAATAAATTATTTTTTATTAAATTACTTTATTTTAATGTTTAATCTATAATCTATTGATTATTTATCAGCTTAATAACGTATTTTATTAATAAAAGTATTTTTGTGGCAGTGCGTAGGACGTTTGAACTATTTGAAGTTTCGTTAAATCATTATGGCTACGTGTGAACATGCCTTAAGGGGAGTAGACATGTTAAAGCTTCCAGGCAACACATTAAATTTGCAATCAATACTGCCAAGTATCTTTTGTGTCAGTGCGTAGGATGTTTGAACTATTTGATGTTTTGATCAATAATTAGTTCTACGTGTGAACATGGCTTAAGGCAAGTAAACATGTTAAAGCTTCCAGGCGACACATTCAATTTTTAATCAATACTACTAGATGGATTTACGGACACATTAGAATGTTTTGATTTTAAGGGACATTTGAAGGGATTTTAACAGCATTATTATATCACTTATTTTATAAATATATATTTTTCTCTTTTTTTATTTTTTTCTCTTTTTATTCTAAGCCAATATATTTTTCATAATTTTTTTGGAAACTATTTTACGCTAATTTTCTATTTTAGGATTTATGTTTAATTATTTATTTCCATTTAATATTTATGTCGTATCCTATACATTTTATAATTGCTATTATTATTTCCATTAAAAATTATAGCTTTTACACATCAATTTTTTTATTATTTTTTTTTTTTTTTGAATTTTTAGTATATAAAAAATGAACTTTTTCGGTATTCTAGTCATTTCTTTCTAAAAGTTAAGTTTAATTTAGTTTTTTTTGTTACATATTAGAATAAACTTATTTCATTGCAATAAATTGCGTAGTAATACAGGGTGTTAAATGCATATAAAAACTGAAAATGTTTTTAATTTGTTACAGAGAAACAAAAAAAGAAGTTAATTAATTTTATACAAACCAAAAAAACAAAATGCTTAAAATTACAAAACAGAAATTATTTTTATATTTTGCTTAAGTATAAAACTCAAGAAAATGAAAATTCAAAAAATAACAATTGCAGACTAAAAAAACCCCACCTTTCAACGAAAATAAATAACCAAAAAAAAAAAAAAAAATAAACATGTTGTCATTATACATATTATAAGAATTGTAATTTCTCAACTCAATTCATTTTTCACACAATCTCACCCTTAACCCCAAATAAAACAAAAAAATATCAACCATTTCATAAACCACAAAGAAAAATATTTAATAATAAAAAATACAAACAAAAATGAATGTGAACCTTTTTAAACTAAAAGATTGAGATTTTTTAAGCAACCTCCCCCCAAAAATATTTCTTATTATTAAAAACAAAATAAACATCAGCAAAAAAGACACTACATTAGTCCTTAAAGGTTTATTATTAATACAAAATACTTAATAATAAAAATAATATATTAATAATATTAACATTAATTGTGTGTGAACTTAGATCAAACATGAATATTTTTAAATGTTTATGGTTAAAAATAACAAAAAAACATAAAGAGCAATTATTAAACTAAATTTAAAATAAAAAACAAAAACATTAATTAATCTTAAATATAATTGAAAACAAAATTCCAAAACCAATTTAGATTTGTTTAATTTTGCCTGTATTGATTTTATTTAAACATTTTTGAGGTCTTAACATGATTACAAATGAGAAATACGATGTCCAACCCCTAGCAAACATTTAAAACAAATCAGTTTGTCATGTGGCCAGTTACCTTGATGACGCCTCTCATTTGTATTCATGATTGGAACCTAGTGTTATTTTAGTATAAATATCATCTCCCTTTTCCATTTCTATGTTATTATTATTAAAAAAATTATATATTATTATTGCTACTATATTGGCATTAAGAAAAAATATAAAAAATAAAAAAAAACATATTCATACATATTTTTTATACCTTCAAAATAAAAAAAAACACTTAATCTTATAAGTAATTATTATTATTAATCATTAATTACGATTATTATTTTTATGAATTATTATTATTATCATATTTGCCATTAAACAAAAAAACAACCCACATCAATTCATCAAAATATTGACATTTTTGATATAAAAACAAAAAAACCAACAACAATCGATTGAAAAGAACTTTCTCTCTCTATAACATATATATGAGACATAAACTATAAAAATACAGTCCTTTTTTAATTGCTTAGGGGCCACAATTTTCAAAAAAGAAAAGAAGATGAAATAATCTTAAATAATAATTATTATTATAATACATAATTAATGAAAAAAAAAAACAAAAAAAAATATTGTAAGTATTTCTATTTCCATCACAATAAAATTATTTTGTTTTTTAATAAAACTAAAGAAAAATGATGTTTTATTTACACGAAAAGGGAAGGCAAAAGGTTTGTTCTTCGTTGGGGATGGCATGTGGCCAGGTATCCTAAGTATGTGATATTAGACATGTTTACATTGAGTAACGTTAGTAGTTTGTTAGCCGTTTTGAATTTTAAATATTGTTGCGCGAGTACCTAACGCCATATCGGTTTGGCAAGAAACCAATATTTTGGTGAAATACCAGGCGAACAGAACGGGATGGTAGGTGTCCAGGCTGAAAAAAAAAATTTTTCAAAATTTCAATCTGGCAACACCCCACACACTTGAGAAATTATATGCGCCTGAAATTATGCTTTGAATATGGTAAATAGCTACTATGGCATTGCCAGATCTAAATTATGAACAATACGACATTGCCAGATCTAAATTATGAGCAATTCAAGCATTTGCCTCAAAGTATGCTTTGAATGTGTACCGACAGTTAATGGGGCGCCGCTCAATCTAAAAAAAAATTATGTTTGCTAGTCGATTCTGGGCCCCTGGTATTTTCGGGTTTTGCAACTTTTACCATTTTTTCGTTTGGGGAAACGAAACACACACACACGCACACATGGCGTAGATGTTTTATTAGCCTAGCATTTGATGAAATAAATATTTATGACAAGACCACCCATTCAATTTAGTTAATCAATAAAAATAAATAAAACACCTTTTTGTTATATTAAATTAATAATCATTTATAATTTATTTATTTAAAATAACTCTAGAATTTATTGCCATAATCAGTGCATTTCACAACAATCAGTGCTTGCAAGAAAGAACCAAAAAATAAAACATTTAAAATTAAAAACAAAAAACCAAAAAAAAACAAAACGAAAACTCAAAAAAGATCACTTAAAAGAGGAGGGGTAATTCACAATCACTCCCTCCCTCCTTGGGGAAAATACTTTCTAAATTGCAAATAAAGCAATAATACCGTCAAATTTTTATTTTCTTTCGCTCTCTCTCATCCTGCCAGTGTGTCATTAATTTTGCTCTCTCAACGGCCCACCTTTAGTGCTCACCAAATTCACGCAATTCACGATTACCCAATGGCAAGGGGGGACGGAAATTATTAATCACCTTGCCGTTCAATTCATTGCATGGACAATCTTCTTTTACGTCATAGCAGTTCAGGTCACGCATAGCTTCCAATTGTTCGTGGGACACTTCAATGGGTGTCTTGAAGACAATCCAAATGACACACTCCGAGCAGGGTGGAGTGGTAAGGGAGCCCTCGTAGGTCCAATAAGTGGTGGTGCTGGGCAACAGCTTGGCAGGATCACAGCCATTGGGTAGGGTGACACGATCTCCCTTGTGTTTGATAAACTGCAAAAGGCTTGTGATTCTATCGAATTCCTCATGATGGAGACCGGGCTGCAAATTGAAAAAAAAAAACAACGTTCAAATTTCATTTCAAATACCGAACATAATTTCTATTCCCCCTTACCTTCAAGAAAACACCCAACACCGCTAAGCCATCAGGCTGGGCAGCAGCCTCATTGAAGGTCTGGTATTTGGTTGTATTCCAATGGACCAAATGCAATTCACCGGCATAGGAAACACCATCGACAGTGTGCTCCGAACCCTTGCCATCATTGCAACCCCAATGACAATGGAATTGTTCCAATTTATAGATGTTATCACCCAATGGACCACCGGTTAATTCCGATTCGTTACCATTGACATCAACACGCCAGCAGTAGCCAGGATTCACCAAACTCTTGGTGTGCTCAGGAACGTATTTCCATTTGAGTTGAGGAACTTTTAAATCGCTACCCTTCTTGCAGACGGCAGTGTCAATATCGACGGGCGATTGGCGAGTACCCTTGGCCTCAGGGAATTCAACGAACCACTTGTCGGGTCCTATTAGAAAAATAAACAGAAAATAAATTTGTTAATAAAATGAAGCTTCATTTGAAAATTTATACATTTAAGCTAAAGTTACAAAATTTCAATTATATAAAAATCCAGCTTAAAACTTAAAGGTAAAATACGATTTTCGTAAATCTCTCTAAAGTGCTTAAATCTTTTATACGATAATTATCGATAAAATTATCTTCATACAATTTTGATGGATTTGATATGTGGCCATCTACCATTAAGTGTGTTTCTAACGGATGTTTACACAATATAAATTTTCTTGAATCAGAGTTACAAACTTAGAGAAATGCGTTCCACGCCGTATAGCGTTTTTCACAGACAATAAATGCTAACAACAAATTATGAAAAAACGGTCGAAATTTGTTAAAGAACAATAGAAAATGAGAAACAATGAAAAAGTTGTATGGTAAATACAGGGTGAGATGAAAAAACTGCAACCAACTTCAGATGGAAGAAATCGGCAACATCAGTAGAAATGGTTCGAAAAGTAAAGAAGCGACTTCGAATCGAAACCCGCGTCGCAGTGGCCGAAAAATGGCTCGTAAGCTGAACATATCGCAATATTCCATTCGGCAAATATTGAAAAATGAGCTCGGGGTAAAGCCATTGAAATTCCAAAAAGTGCAGAACTTAAACCGCCTCAGAAAGAAAATAGACTCAAAATAGCTAAAGAGTGGCTTCGCTTGGCCGAAAGTGGTGAACTTTGTCCAGCAGTTTGTAAACAAACAAAATAATCATGTCTACTTGCCAAAGAGGTCAGCTAAAAATGTGCACCTTTGGCTGGCCACTAGAACAGAACTCAAGCGCGGGCCATGGTTATGGTGTGGGCCGCCATAACACCCGATGGTCGATCTCCGCTCGTATTAATCGACCGTGGCATCAGAATAAATGCCGAATATTATAGCGAAAATATTTTGGAGGGTGTATTAAAGCCTTGGGCACGCAAACATTTTGAGCCGCAGACCTTGGACATTCCAACAGGAATCAGCACCATCGCACTCAGCACGCGCCACCCAAGAAAGGTTACAAAATGAGGTTCCTCGCTTCATTTCCAGCGCACAATGGCCACCAAAATCTCCGGATACCAATCCGTTGGACTATTGTGTCTGGAGTATTTTGGAAAGCAAGGTTGGCTCTAAAAAATACCAAAATGTCGATCACCTCAAGCAAGCGCTTCGCCGGGAATGGGCCAAAATACCGCAGAGCAACATTCGAGCAGTGTGTGACGGTTTCATTGGCCGTTGGAAGGCCATAATTCGTGCCAAAGGCGACCAATTCGAACAAATATTTGAATATCCTCCACCATTTGGAACAAATTTGGCAATTTTCAAAAAAAAAAAAAATCCGTTAAAAACTCTGTTAAAATATTAAAAATACTGAATGAAACCGTTTTATTAGGGTCTAAACGACGACGTGGACCCACATATACAAATGCGAAACTTGAAAAAAAATATCGGTAAATAATGTCGCTAAAATCATCAAAATACCGAATATTTTGAAGTACCTATAGATGAGGCCTCTACGAAGACGTGGACCTTCACAGACAATTTTTTGTCATAGGCTGTTATATCCGACACGAACTTAAAATGCCAACTTTGAATGAATTCCGCTGAATATTGTCGCTAAAATCATGAAAATACCGAATATCGGGAGATACCGTTATATAGGGGCTATACGAAGACGTGAACCTGCACAGACAATTTTCTGTCATAGGCTGTGGTATCCAATACGAACTTTAAATACCAAATTTGAAACAATTCCGGTGAATAATGTCGCTAAAATCATCAAAATTCCGAATATCGGGAGATACCGTTATGTGGGGGCTCTGCGAAGACGTGGACCTACATGAACCATTTTCAATACCAAAAGTCCTGCAGACATAATATACATTTGAGTAAAATTTTATCAATCTACTTCAATTCGTTCGGAAGTTAGAGTGATTTCCACAGACGGATAGACGGACGGATATCTCTAAATCGACATAGAATTTTATGCTGATCAAGAATATATATATACTCTGTGGGGTCTAAAATGTATATTTCGAGGTGTTACAAACAGAATGACAAACTTAATATATCCTCCATACTATGGTGGAGGGCATAAAAAATAACAGACCACCCTCGTTCCAGGTTGATGCTTGAGGATAGATATTGAAATCTCTGCTTTTTAATTTGCCATTATAAGTGTACGCAGTAAAATTAATTTTTATGATTGCTATATTATCTCATAGGTGAGGAGGTGATAAGAATATAAATGAAATGATTTATTTACACAGAACATATGGGATATCCAACATTGTTCCGTGGTTCCGTTTGCATAGTTTAAAACAATCGAAATGAAAGGAAGAATTTATTATTTACGTTTAGTATTGTTATAAATTGTATCATTTTATGAGATTACAAACACGTATAATGTGCTGTTTCAGATAAGGAGATATTCATGAGAAAATTTAAAGAAAATATATTAGGTCATATCAAAAAGAATCAGTGGCATGGGAACAAATTTTTGATATATGGATAGGTTGAGGTCGGTAAATTTATTTTAAAGACACCTGTACTTGGAAATATTGGTGCACCTTAACTTTCACATGACCACATCACACTCGTAGTTTTTTTTTTGCAATGCCCTACCCTATCTAGCCAATCTAGTCATGAGTCGAATAAAATATATTTTCTTGCGTTCAGGCCCAAGATTTATTGCCTTTCGGGAAAAGCTACCGCTATCAGCATTTGTCTCGGGTATTAATGACAAAATTTATTTGTTTAGATACCACAAAAAAAAAAAAAGAAATTGCAACCGAACCAAATTCCAAAAATACAATACATTATACAGTCTTAATAATCGATACTGTCAATACCGGTTGGTGTTAATATATCAAAATGTCGGGAACCCGGATTTGTAATAAAGAAAGAAGAAATAATAATAATAACAACAAACCAATATTCATACCGGGTATAAATTGTGATAAGAATTTTTTTATTTTTAAATGCCACTGTCAAATGTGGGTATAACGGTGTTGTGTATTTTATTTATCACAATCTTATGACAGGGCTTTTGTGTTGTTTTTTTTATATGGATTGTCATAATTGATGACCTGTGATTATATAATTAAATTATGTGTAATGTTGTTGTTGATTGTCTGGGCTGGGTGGCTGACTAACTTACAGACTGACTGACTGATCACTGGCACAGGTTAATTAGCTATTGTATTTTTTGTTGTTGTTTGATTGTTTGTTTGACATTACATGATTGACGTACAATTGCACTACAGTAGGTCTGTCCGTTAAATTTGTAGTAATCACGGTAGAAGAATACAGGAAGATGCATCAACGCTTGGGAGCATTGATATGTCAAAAAAATTTTAATGTCTTTTCAAATATAAGTACATTTTTATTTGTTTTCTTATGCACCGTCATTCGGAGGTTATTATAATTCGCGTTTTTCAACAATTTTTACAAATTTAAATAATTTTTCATTCAATATTTTCAATTCCAAAATTGGTTTGACAGTTCGTTGTCCCAGCAGCTGTGTCAATGCGTCTACCTATATTCTTCTACCATGGTAGTAACACATTCTAAAAGCATGTTTACATATACTAGATTCTGTGGATTTCAAATGTCAGTTTCATTACGTCTACGTCAAATCTTAAATCTTGTGGATTTGATTGAAGGTATAAGTAATGGCATTGATTTCGTGTGTGAAAACATGCCTGAAGTTTGAAAATGGATATGTAAACATATTGTTAACAAAATAGATACTGCAATATCTTTTTATGTATTTTTTTAATTTTAATACAATTTTCCTTACCCTCTTTTACATATACAAATAAAAGATGGGAACTGGTTCTCAATGAAGTTAAATTGGACATAGCTAATTACATATATTGTACAGATGTGATGCGATAGCACAGTTAGGCCCATGGCAGAAGAATACAGGTAGATGCATCAACGATTGGGAGCATTGATATTTCAAAAAATTGTAAATATCTTTTCAAACATAAGTAAATTTTTATATGTTTTCTTATACGACGTCATTCGGAGGTTATTATAATTCGCGTTTTTCAACAATTTTTACAAATTTAAATAATTTTTCATTCAACATTTTCAATTCCAAAATTGGTTTGACAGTTCATTGTGCCAGCAGCTGTGTCGATGCGTCTACCTATTTTCTTCTACCATGGTAACAACATATTCTAAAAGATTGTTTACATATACTAGATTCTGTATGACTAAATGTCAATTTGATTAGATTTAAGGTATAAGTAATTACATTGATGTCGTATGTGTAAACATGCCTGAAGTTCGAAGATGGATATGTAAATATATTATTAACAAAATAGATACTGCAAAATTGTTTATGTAATTAATTTTAATTTCTAATACAATTTTCCTTCCCTTGTTTATACAGGGAGAAGGAGCAAGTACACAAAAAGCTTGAAGTCATGGCTAGGCACATTTTGTGATATTTCATAAAGGGATTACAGAGCCGCACTAAAATCCTGCCGTCATTTAACACTATAATTTGACATTAATATGCCTAGCCATGACTTCAAACTTTTTATGTACCAAGGAAAGTCGTTGGAGCAATCCAGCATTTAATTTTAAATAAATCTTTTGGTGTCTCGTACCATCGCTCGTTACCGTGATACTGGAAGGGTAGCCCGACTTCAAGGAAGTGGACGGAAGAAAACAGCAACATCACCAGGAAGGGTTCGAAAAGTAAAGAAGCGATTTGATCGAAACCCGCGTCGCAGTGGCCAAAAAATGGCTCTTGAGCTGAACATATCGCAATATTCCATTCGGCAAATATTGAAAAATGAGCTCGAGGTAGTCATTGAAATTCCAAAAAGTGCAAGAACTTACACCGCAACCGAAAGAAAATAGACTCAAAAGAGCTAAAGAATTGCTTCGCTTGGCCGAAAGTGGTGAACTGCCGAAATTGGTTTTCTCCGTCTCCGATGAGAAAACATTCGTTATCCAGCA